ATAAACTAATTTCCAATATTTTGTCATGAAAAACTAAATCATTGCCTTTGATCACATGTTCAGGGAAGTGAATAGATACGTTGACATGCTGCTCATCAAACCTCTCAAGAATATTTAGATATTGTTATTTTTCATCATTTGCCTTCAGGCTATAAATCCCTCATAAAATTTGACATGACTTGATTTCTGTTCTCTTCTATCACAGGTTTTTCATAACCTATTAATAATTTTCATGAATTTTGGGTAATTAATTACACTTCTAGACCCAAAATTCTTAGAAATCATACTTTGATCTTGGTTGAGTTTGATATTTTCAAATTAATGTTCACTCTTATTTGTTTTTAATTTTGAGTACTTTCTCATAATCTCATTATATTTAGTTACATATAATTACCTTTGAACATTAATAATTACTATCTGATTTTAGATAGACTATTACTCTTACCTGCTTGTATCCTCTTTCCTTTTTTAGCCTAATTAGTAGTTGAGATATCTAAGAAAGATTAAGGATACCCTCTCAATAAAGTAAGCCAAATTTAAAAGATCCTTATATTCTAAACTCACCCTAGACCATTGTCTTCATATAGAATTGTCATATGCTTTATGACTCAATAACTTTCTATTAGGTTTACTGTAACTATGAGATCTAATTACAATCCCTAGATCTAACTATAATTTTGTTAAGTCCTTTTGGATCTATTATGATTCTTAAGATTTAACTACAATCATTTTTTAAGAGAGTTAGGACATAAGGATAAAATTGTCAAATAACTCTAACTCTGTTTAACTTATTGAATTCTAGTATATTCTTAAACTTGTAGACCCAAAATTTGGGATGTTATACCCAGTACTCCTCATAAAATAATTTAAGGATAAAATTGATCTTTAATTATAAATTTTTTAATATACTTCTTTTGTTTTAAATTATAGACAACTTTAGAAATATTTCATTGTCTTAAAATATAAAATAATTTAATAAAAATAAAACTTTATTAATGATGCTTTTCTACCAAGTGGGTGTGGCACATATAATAGCAATTTAGGCCTCTTAAATATCATTTGAAAGTTCAATTCCTAAAAGTATGTATGGAGAGCAATGCTTGAGAGATTACAAGACCTTAAATGGAGTTTAAATTTTTGGAGAGACTAATTTCATGGTTATCAATTGTGGGGATACCTTGTGAAACAAAATATATATATATATAATATATATATTATTTCCAATATTACCATTTGAATAGAGAGACAATTAAAATGATTACAGTATAATAATTAACTGTGTAAATTTAAAATTATATTAAATAAATAATATTTTTAAAAATTTATATTTCTGTTTTAATTTTTAAAAAATAAATTTATAAAGTGTCGTTTATGTCTAATTTAATCTCAAATTACTCCTTTTGGTTCAAAATATAATACAGCTTAAAAAAAAAAAAAGGAAATGCTGTGGAGCCCGAGAAACAGGAGGAAATGCAGGAAATGGCAAAAAAAATGTTATCTTGCTTCAAACCACAACCATAAAAGCGTTCCCTTGGTCAGAAAAGTATCAGATCTGACTTGAGATTGCCAGATTCACAAAAATCTCATACCTCAAACGCAGACCCATGGCGGCCAAGGGAGAAGAAGAAGGAAGACGGGTGCTGAGACGACAGAAAGCGAAGACGACGCTTGAGTTTTGACGTCTTAGATATTATAACCGTTCGTCAAACCATGTGCCAATCACTAGATTTAATATTGATGATTAATTAATTCATATTGAAGAGAAAAAGAGGGGGCTGGATGAGCGAGAAAAAGAACAAAAGAGCTGCCTGGCGGAAGAGCAATGACAGAGAAAGCAACCGGATGAAAAGTGAAACTGATAGGACGTGGGTGCTGCTTGGTCAAAGCGCCGGAAATGCTTTTTTAAATTTATATATTTATTTATATATTATTTATTAAATTTGAAATATATTTCACTATAATTTAAATTTAAATTTAAATATCTATAAAATCCAGAAATATTATAAATAAATTATTATAAATAATTTATTTTAAAATTTATTAATTTTTTATATTTTTTCATATTAAAAATTAAAATATATTAATTTATTAATAAATAGTTTGATCCTGATCCAATTAGGATCAAACTATTAAACCGTAAATTAGTACTTTACCTCTTTCAATAACCAATTTAATCTTTAAAATATTAAATTTTTCTTGAATTTTGGATAAAATACAATTAGTTAAAGAAGAAAATGAATATATTAGTTGATTAATGAAGAACAACCATTTGAGATTGAATATAATACTACATAGAAGATCAAATGATTTGGATCACAACTCAGATAAAAGATAGAGATTGAAAATATCAATCAAATTATTTTGTAATTTGGATGAACAGAGTAGAATTTATTTTTATTTTTCACCTTGTACTTTTTAATTTCTTTAGAATTTTGGACAAAGTACAATTAATTAAAGAAACATTGATTCCACTTTTAATTTCACCTTGTACTTTTTATAATTTTTTTGAATAATTGTCAATTTATTTGTAGCTATTTGCTTACCTATATATGCACGTCTAATTTTAGGTAGTTTATGATAATTGGAAACTTTTTATTTGAGTCAAATAAATTAAATGATAATCGTGTATATTATGCATATTATGTAGTTAATGTTTTAGGTAGTTTAAGCACATTCCTTATATTATATATATTGTATGCATGCCTGATTTGCATAGCTACAGCAAGTCTATATAAATAGTAGATGCACCGTTAATCTTTATCCAATTTTATTGTAGATGCACCGTTAATCTTTATCCAATTTTTCAAGCACCGTACATGTTACTATGGTTTGTCATTACTTGCCACTCAATTCATCATGGCTTCCTACACCGATGTTCAGTTGCTTTGGAGCTAGGGCAAGGTCACTACTCCCAATCTATCAAGCTACTTGTTGTGAGGATGTAGGAGGTTTTGTGAAAAATTTGATCCACCACAATAATTGAAAACTTTAACTTCATTGTGTATAACAAAAGGTATATTTTTTAATTCTAACCCCAATTATAATTTCTATTTATGTCTTATGTGTTGCCATTGGATATTTTTCATTTTGAGTTATTCATTATTTATTTAACCCTACATCACACTTTTTAGGGCAACATGATTCAAAGTCAAAATTTCATGAGTTATATCAAGATTTTCCTACACCTTACGTGAAGAGCTTACTTATCAAGATTTCGACTGGGTATCGGCTTTATTGCCAAGAAGACACTACTTTTGAGATGTGTGTAGTGAGGACATTCTTCCACCACCGTTAATCTTTAAACCTTTATTGAATGTTGCTACCATACTAGTAGTTCAAACTATACTCACAAGTACTAATTTCACATTTATATTTTTATATTTGATATATCAAATCTATCAATCATGTTAACATAATATCTAATTACAAATTTTTATGTCTAGATGTTTTTGGACTTGTGTTAAGAGTTGGTGACTATCACCAGATCAAGCATCGTGGCTATAAGGTTAATGAATTTATATTTACAATAATTGATGATTGGTGAGTTGTGTCTTTTTATTTGCTTGGTGTTTATAGTCACTATTTGCATATGTTGTTATTGTTATAATTAATATGATAGGTTACTAAGTTTTTACTCAATATTTTTTATTTGTGCTTTTATTTATGTGCTATTAATGAAATATTTTTCACAATATATATAATATGGTAAGGTAGTTGATTGGGAAACTAAATTATGATTATTGTGATGGGTTACTAAGCTTGTTTTTATTTTATTTGCAAGCGGGAATTTATTTGATTGCATTCTTCGTAAGTCTGCTGCATGGTGAGCATATCATAAGTACAAGTCCATTGAAGATAAGAGTCATGTCATTGCTGTCATGCAATTTGCCCTTCTTGATAGGACCAAAGGTGATTTTCTATGTGCCTTCTATTTGTTTAATTACCATTCAATAAATTTAATTGATCACATATTAAATAAAATTACTTTTCTGACACAGTTGTTCCTAGGAGTTACCACAATGCAACTCGAGAGGAGACGAAACATTAGAGATGGTGAAGTCAAATACAATTAATTAAAACTCAATACAATTAATTCCATTGAGTTTTTAAACTCAATATCAATGTTTGACCTCCCAAACCATAAGCTTATAGTTAAAGTTGGAGATCCTATCATGCTCTTAAGAAATATTGATAAATATCTAAGTCTTTATAATGGCACATGTCTAATTGTCACCAAGGCAGGAAAACATATTCTAAAAGCACAAATAATTTCAGGATCAAATGCTGGGACAAAGGTTTATATTTCAAGGATTGATATGTCACCTTCTAACTCTCGACTACCATTTACTCTTTGTAGGAGACAATTTTCAATTGTATTGTTTTTTGTTATGATCATAGACAAGATTAGGGTCAAAACTTACTTAGCATCGGGCTGTATTTATCAAGACATGTCTTTACATATGACCAGCTATACGTGGCTATATCTCGAGTGCAGAGTAGAAAAGGGTTGAAGATATTAATTCTTGATGCAAATGGCAAACCTACAAATATTATGTCGGTACAGGGAGATTTTTAACAATCTAACTTATACATGACAGCCACCTATTCATTGAGATGCCATAATTTTTTTTTTTGGCTTTTTATTTGGTATAATAAGTAATTGCCTTTATATATAATATGTGTTGATAAATTATCTAAGATCAAATAGTGGTTTAAAATATACCTAACACATCATCACCATGATTTTTTCACCATTATTCTTAAATATTAATCATTTATATATTAATTAAATCTTATTATTATTTTAGGTATATAATTATTCAATATGTAACTATTTTTCATCATCTAAGCATTAAAAGAAATTATAAAAATAATATCCCGTGCAGCGCTCAAAAGAAGAAAATGAATATATTAGTTGACACGAGATCGGACGAGGATCAGAGCTCAAAAGAAGATTGAGATTCTCGTGTTTCGTTGGTATTTAAAAAAAAAAAAAAAACAAAAAGCCAACTTCTCGGGCTTCTTCTATGTTCCTTCGTTCAGTGAAAGGCAATTGCACATAAATTCCCCCTTTCTCTCAATGCCATGGTCGCCATCCGAGTGGTGTCTACAGCTACGATCCAAGCAAGAAGTCAAGTTAATTATGGTGATTCGCCTGAAGAAATCGAGCTCAATCCCTGGGATCTCCAATTTCTGCTAAGTGAGTATGCCCAAAAAGGTATTCTTTTTCGCAAACCCATCTTGTCTTCTTCTACTTGCTCTGGTTCTTCTTCTTCTTCAGATTACACACACAAAACTATCCAGCACCTTAAGGACTCTCTTTCTTCCACCCTCGACTTCTTCCGGCCCCTTGTCGGCCGTTTAGTTATCGTCCCTCACGGCGGCGATGATGATACCTTCTCCATCTTCGTCTCTTGCAACAACACCGGAGCAAGTTTTGTTCATGCTATTGCAGAGAACACTGCAATTTCCGACATCGTTGAGCCCACTTATGTTCCTCCATTTGTCCACTCCTTCTTCCCACTCTACAGATCCAAGAACATCGAAGGAACTCAGATCCCATTATTGGCTGTCCAAGTTACAGAGCTCGTGGATGGCATCTTCATGGCTTGTTCGATAAACCATTGTCTTGCCGATGCGAAGCCGTTCATGGATTTCGTGTTTGCGTGGGCTAACATCTCTAGAAATGGTTTAAACCATATAGCCTCGACTTCAAAGCTCGCTTCATTCGACCGATGGTTTCCTCCTGGTAATATCCCACGTCCTATACGAATTCCATTCAGAGAAATAAAGGACACTAATCTTAATACGCCCATTGATTCAAACCAGCCTTTTCCATTCTCTCAGAGGTTCTTCCACTTTAAAAGGGAAAAAATTGTCGAACTGAGAGAAAAAGCAAAGTCAGAGATAGAGGATGGTGCTATCGTCAGCAACAAAATCTCCTCGCTGCAAGCGGTTACTAGCCATGTTTGGAGATCTGTGATCAAAAATCAGCATCTTGATCCAGAAGAAGAGGTCACTTACAGATTCTTTGTAGCTGTTGGACACAGAATTTCTCACCCACCATTACCCAGCAACTATTTTGGACCCACATTGCAATTTTCATATGTGACAATGAAAGCACGAGACTTGGTGGGAGAAGGAGGGCTTGGGAAGTTTGCTTTGGAGATGAACAAGATAGTATCATCATACACAAGCGAAAAGATCACGACGGACTTTGAAGATTGGGCACGAAATCCAAGGATGCCTCCAAAGAGAGAGAGTGGCACAATTGGGAAGTTTATGGGAACTAGTGGCAGCCCAAGGGCCAACTTTTACCCAATTGATTTTGGCTGGGGAAAACCAGTGGCAGTTCATAGTGGCCTTCCCAATCCAAAGAATTGGAAGCTAGTTTTTGATGCTGGAGTAGATGAAGGTAGCTTTGACATTGAGCTTTATGCTTCCTTTGAGATGCTGGAAGCTTTAGCAAGGGACCCTGAGTTCATGAATGTGGTGTCGCCAATGCCACTACCATCGCCAGTGACAGGGATATCCAATAAACTAGCACAAGCTCGGCTGTGAAAGAAGTAAAGCTTGATGTGATGCTAAATTGCAACATCCTAAATTTGTATTTTTAGTGTTAATTAGGGATTAATAATGATTTGAGAGGGTTTAGAAGTATTTAAGAGTAATGAAATGAATTAGGAATAAATATTGGACTGGTTGAGGGCTAAATTAACAGTGTGAAAGCGTCTATTGTGCCTGAAATGGGGAGCCAAAATCTGGCCTCTCTTCGCCGTGCAATTTGTGACAGTGGATGGTGGCTGTGCCGTGGCGGATGTGCCCAATCTGGAAATATTGAACACGGTTTAATATAAGTAATCAAAGCTCAATTCTCTTTTGCTCTTGCTTGTTTTGTATTTGTGATTTTTTTTGACTATGAAAATCTCATGTTTGGTGTTGTGAAATGCTTAATGAAGTGGGAATATGTTGAAAATGATACATGATGAGAAATGTGATTTTATTCTTTTGTAAGTATGATTTGGTATATATTCGTAATGATATCTTTTGGCATGATCATGTATGTCGTGTTTGGGAGGTTGTTGCTAGGAGATATGTATGTCTGTGTTGTTCTATATACTATGTGGTACGCCACCAAAGGGCCTAATGGTTGGCTCACTTTATTTGGAACCTTGGTATCGCCCTTTTCTTTTGGTTGGGATTGTTGTTGGATAGGTCAAGGGACATGACACTCCTCAACTCAAAGTGAGAGAACCCATGGTCTTGTGTAAGCTCTTACATTTAATGATTGGAAAGATTAGGCTAGCTCAGTCATATGGACAAGTGTTATTGTAATTACATAGCCTATGAGTTCAATTAGAGGGTTAAAGAAAGATATAAGAAAAATTGTGTTGATCATGCTTTAATTTACAATTTTTTTTTGGAAGAAAGTGGAAGCTTGTTTTAAGTTATATCCTGCTTTATTAGATCATAAATCTTAGCTTGCTTGCATGCTTGTTGAAAAATAGTGCTTTTAATTATTGATATATTATGTATTATCCCGTTGTTTAATATTTTTTAGGCAAGGTTTCCGGTAGGAATCAAGAGAAAGCTTGATAGGCTTGAGGGATTATGGCTTATTATAAAAGCCTGCTCATGCCCACTTGTATTATTCAGATGTATATTGCTAAACTTTAAAGCTATTTTGGATACATTTGCATATTTAACATGTTTGGATTAGCTTCTTGAGAATTTTGGCCCAATTGCGGGAATTAAATATACTTGATGACTTTTGAGGTCATTTAAGACGGGAACAAGTGTGTTTGAATAATTGATACATATTTTGATGGATCAAAGTTGCATTTGGGATCATATGTACGTTTTCACTATTTTATGTGCAAAGTATAATTTTGGCTTCAAGTAGTCAATCGTTGATATGCTGTGTTTGGGCTGAATTTAATGAAGTTATTAGTATTATCATGTTTATGGAGAATGATTTCAAGTCCAAATTGAGGTTAATGGCACTTGGTAGCATATTGAGATGGCAAATTGATCTCAATACTACCAAAAAAAAAAAGAATTTATTTACCTATATACTATATTTTTAAAAGTATTTCCTCATATATTATGAATCTAAAACTTGACTTGTATCATATTGAGATTTGAACATTGTTTTAATATAAAAATACAGAAATTAGTCTCTGTCATACTAAATTTGTACTCGAGAGAAAAAAGAAAATTTGGTGTGTCAAGTTATACTCAAAAAAGAAAAAAGAAAATCAATGTGCACTCATTTCACCTTCACTTTCTCTCTCATCCTCGGGTGAACCTCTCTCCACCTACACCAATGCTTCCTCTTCATGTGTATGTTCTTTTTCTTTTCTAAAGTACAGGGAGTGTTTGAATTGCATGATACATGTATATGTGATGGTATGGCTTTTCTTTCTTCAGCATAGAGAGTGTTTATATATAATATAAATAATATTTTTCATTTCTTAAATTATAAGTTAATTTAATATAAGATTATGCATATAAATCCTGTGGGAAGAAAATTGAACTGATATTGTAGTGTCATGATTAAGTGTGTAGGGATATTTTTAAAAAATTTATAATTTTACTTTGAAAAAGAAAATTTATAAATTTACTTTATTATATTATATTTTTACTTATATACATAATCTTATATCAAATTAACTTATAATTTAAGAAGAAAAAATATTATTTATATCATATATAAACACTTTATATTTAAAAAAGAAAAAGCCACACCATCATATATACATGTACTATGCAATTTAAACACTTCCTATACTTTGGAAAAGAAAAAGAACACACACATGAGGAGGAAGCATGGTGCAAGTGGAGAGAAGTTCACCTAAGGGTGAGAGAAAAAGTGAGAGTAGGATGGTTGCACATTGATTTTCTTTTCTCATTCTTGAGTACAACTTGACTTGACACACCAAGTTTTCTTTTTTCTCTCTCTTGAGCACAAATTCAGTTTGATAGAGATCGATTTTTGTATTTTTACGTTAAAAAAATGTTTAAATCTTGATATGATATAAGTTAAGTTTTAAATTCATAATGTACGAGAAAATACTTTTAAAAGTATAGTTTATGAGTAAATATTTTTTATTTTTTGACAGTATTAAGACCAATTTACTGGTTGAGACTCTTCAGGCTTGTTTTATAAGTGAACAGTTATTGGTTTGTTTCTAATACTTTTTTTTGCCAAACATTGGCTTGTTTCTAAATATATGAGGGAATGATAATTTAGTAAATTTTTAATTTGATTTTTTTTAATTCATTCCATTGACATTTTTCTGATAATCAAATGGGCTCATAAAATTTTGGATAGAGATTTAGCCCCCACTATATTTTGATTTACAGCTGGAATTACACAGCTCAATCAGAAGCCAGTGTTAAAATTGGCTCTCAAATTTCTCAAATGTTAGACGTTAGAAACATACAGATGTGTGTTTGGTTATTTTAAGCCAGCATCCAAGGCACTATCTGCAGAAAACAAGTGATGTTAACTTGCTACACGAGTATTGCTTAGAAATATCTACATTCTACAAGTCAAAAGTGAGTGAGGAAAAAGTACCCGATAGGATACGGATCAGGTGCAATGGAAAATCATGCAGTCACTAAAAAGTGAAAAATTCTCATTGTGATTTTTTATCCCATGACTGATAATAAATAAGTGTATAAAAACCTCCCCTTTTCCCAACACATAATCACGTATCTAAAATAAAAATAAAAATATAATATTTTTAATAAATATTTAACTATTAATTTAGAAAATACAAATTTTATCTTGATGATCTAGTTTAATATTAATTTTTTATTTTTATAAATTAACTATCTAGATATATTTTGAACAACTCATAGTTAATGTTAAAATTTTTTATAATCCTTATAAATTTGATAAATAAATATAAAATAAGATAATGTTTTTAGTACTTTCCAAAAAATAGTTTTTTAAAAAGTTACAAGCTAATTTTAAATATGAATCAAAAAATCAAAATCCACACTGTAAAGTATATTTAAAAGTTAATTTATAAAAAAAATAATAAATTGAATCATCAAATAAAATCTGTATTTTAATTAATATATTTATTAAAAATATATTTTTTTTATAAATTTTGTTTTAGATAAAATTTTATTGTGCACGTGCAAATGAGAAGCCTTTTTATACACCAATTTCTTATTAGTTATCAGATAAAAATTCACAGTATAGATTTTTCACTTTCCAAACTGCACAGTTTTCATTGCACCTGATCCGTATCTGTGCCCGGTCACCCTTCATGGAGTTGTTTTGTCCAGTCAAAGGGCTCCCACTCTTTCAAGAAGTTAGCGAGACTGCTTGCTTTTGTACATCCACTGCCTCATAACGGCGATGCCGATACATGTCTTCCTCGGCCAGGTGAAGCATTCCTCTGATAACATTAAGGCCAAGGTTGCTGTTGAACTGCTTCTCATCATCAATAACATGCACAAAACCCTTGTCAAGAAAATCAACGTGGAAGTAAGGAAAATGCTTAGGAATAGAATTTCGCAAACCCTTTTCACTTGTATCAATGAGATTGTTGGCGTTGTCGTGGGTCCACTCATCTTCAGCTTCATCAATTGCCTGTGGTGACATCAATTGAAGAGTGTCAATGAATTGAAAATTATGATAGATCAAAATAAAGATGACTCAAATTCTATAGCAAGTTCAAAAATGAATGTGCATATGCGTGGGATGTGAACATTAAACAGAATACTGCGGTTTTTTAAGTATCATTTTCTCAGAAAGATTTATTGTTGTATTTCGTGAAATAGCAGATAGATTGCAGTGTCAGTAATAGCAACGAAAAAACAGAGGTACTAGACCCCCCCAAAAAAAAAATTGTTACTTGAAATCTAACCTGAAAGTCTAAAGGAGCCGTTTTGGTAACATCTTGAGGTAAAGGAATGCATTCAAATCATACAATGACGACGCTGTTGTGCCAATCCCATCACAGTTTCAAGAAAAGACCCACCTCCTTCTCTTGCTTTGCAAACATCTTAATGAGGCATTTCTTGAAATTCCGAACTTCACTCTACACATCGTCATTCACAGTTCTAGTAGATGACTCATGCTGTTAAGGAAAAGGTAGTAGATAAATAGTCATAATTTGAGTTGAAAAGAAATAATAGTATTGTTAGTTATTATTCAGAATTGTACTAACTATAGAGGGATTAAACTCATGAGCCACACAATAAAATTGTGAGAGAAGTAATTGAGCACAGGTTGAGATTGGAGACAAGTATTTCTGAGAATCAATTTGGTTTTATGCCAGGTAGATCAACTATAGAGGTGATTTATTTACTAAGAGGATTAATGGAAAAAGTATCATTGTAAAGATAACGATTTACATATGGTTTTTATTGATTTGGAAAAAACTTATGATACCGTATACCAAGAGAAGTGCTTTGGAAAGCGTTAAAAAAAAGGAGTACGGATTGCTTATATTAAAGCCATACAAGATATGTATGAGGGGGTTAAAAACTAGTATAGAACGCCTAGTGGTCAAACAAAGGATTTTCTTATAAAAATTGGACTACATCAAGGATCATCTCTGAGTCCTTATTTGTTCAACTTGATCTTAAATGTTTTGACGGAACATATTCAAGGGGAAATTCTGAAATGTATGTTCTTCACGGATGATATAGTTCTTATAGCAGAGACAAGAGAAGAGGTTAATTGCAAATTTGAGTTATGGAGGAGGACATTGGAGTCGAAAGGCTTTCGTCTTGAGTAGAAGTAAGACGGAATATTTATATTGTAAATTTGGTAAAGGACTATTCGACAATAATTTAGAAGTGAAATTGAGAGATCAAATTATACCTCAAGTGAAAAAGTTTAGATATTTGGGAGCCATTATTCAAAATGATGGCGAAATCAGTGGAAATATTTTACATAGAATTCAAGTGAGTGGTTTAATTGGAGAAAAGCTAAAGGAGTTATTTGTGACCGTAAGGTGCCTAATAAACTTAAAGGAAAGTTTTATCATACTGCTATCAGACCGACAATGTTATATAGTAGTGAATGCTGGGCTCTAACGGGACAGCAAGAGCATAAAGTTGGAGTAGCAGAAATGAGAATGTTACGATGGATGTGCGGATATACACGTAAAGATAAAATTTGAAATGAGCACGTACGCGAAAAAGTGAGGATGGCACCCATTGAGGAAAAAATGGTAGAAAATCGGTTGAGATAGTTTGCGCATGTACAAAGAAGACCAAGGGAGGCACCAGTGAGAAGAGTGGAACATATAACTTTAAATTCGATTAAGAGAGGTAGAAGAAGGCCTAAGAGAATACTCTTGGAAGTTGTTGAACGCGATCTCTTAATTAATAATATTCTTAAAAGCTTGATAAATGATAGAGCACAATGGCGTCTTGCAACCCATGTAACCGACCCCACCTAATGGGATAAAGGTTTGTTGTTGTTGTTGTTGTTAATTATTACAATAGGTACTACGTAAGGACTTGACAGCCTTAAGTTCTAGTCTCTGTGACTACAATCTTATACACTTTAATCCTTCCCAATCGTCTCTATAAAGATAGATAAGATCTTTAAGGATGAACACTTGCTTCAGATGCTTTTTTAACATAGATAATCTTTTTATCATACAAAGAAAAAATGTGCCCCGGTCATCGTCGAGTAAATTGAAACAGAAGTAATTATTAAAGGTATTGAAGTATTGTGTATTGAGACATTTACTGCTTAAAGAAGAAAATGGCGCTTTAATATGCAACAATGTCCCGCCACCAAAGGCTGCCACTTTGGCAACATTAGATACGTGTGATTAGCAATGGAAATAATGTGAAGCACGAGACAATTTGCAATGTCTAAGCAAAAGAAACATCTCTCTTGTTGAGTCGTAATACGCTTAGCATCACTGTCTCTTCTTCCGGCTCTTTCTGCTTTCAGCATCTTCAAACTCATACTCATCATCTGAGTCACTAAACATTTTAAACCGCTTTTTCTGCATAATCTTGTGAGCAACATGCTTATCAGCATCGTCTTGTCCTTTTTTCTGCTGTAACGATATGCTTTGCTTGGCATATCTTATAGAAAATGGTATGTGTCAACATAGCAACTTTAAGAGTTAATGGTAATTTATAAGAAACGAACAGCCATATCGAACAAAGAACAATCATGTTGAGCAACTTCTAGGAACTTAAATACAAGAATAAAGAAACAAAAACAACCCATTAGATCACAAAATAAGTATATGTTATGCATGTATTTTAGAAAGTGCACCTGATCACAAGGCACGTGAGAAATGACCAAATCAATATATTCAGAATTAAAGAATAAGACGATGAGACAGAGTTCCAAAAATAGAAAAAATACCTGCTTGGACTTCCTTCAGTTATTGGCCAGATTATGTCACATTGATCTGCCTGCTTTGTGATCATACTGCTTGGCTCCAGCTGCCCTCAAAAATAAGACAAAAGAAAACAAAGAGAAAAAAGAAATGAAATTATCTCTAGCCCTAAAGGATCTGTTGGAGATGGCATCGTGACAATATAAAAAAAGTCTAGATTAGAGGTCACTTTTTCTCAACTTACCAATAATTTATCAGCTTCTTCATGCTTTCCCTTTAAACGTAGCAACAGAGCCTTAGCTGCCAATTGGTTTGCACTCATCCCATCCTTTTCATTTTGCATAGAAGAAGAAACCTCATCAGGGAGCAGAAAGGAAGTTAAAAAATAAAAATAAAAAGGAAAGAAGACACTGACCATAACAAAGAAGAAAATAAAAAACTAAATATATAAGGCTTTAAATTGTATTACCTCAAGGCCCAGTGTATGTGGATGTTGCTCCTTAATTTCACTTCTCATGATATTTTCCTCTTTTTTCTTCTCGGGACCATCATTTACAAACTTGTTTAGGCTAGATTCTACTGCAGAAATCCCAACGTCCGCAGCTGCCTCAGCTTGACTTTTTCGTTTACCCCAGTACAGAGAATCTCAAATTTTAGGTGCCTTCATTTCATGATGCATCTCTGATACACCCCTTAAATAATCCTGCCAGAATTTCATTAGTCAAATTCAGCGACCTCCATGAGAATTTATAAAATGAACTACACAAAAATAATGAAAACAGGGAGATTTTTGCCTTAATAAACAAAAGCTTTCCCTATCTGGATAATCTTGTCAATTAAAAGGAAAGGTGCACTATGTGGGAAACATTAGATAAAAGCCACAATGTAGGTCTATAATCAGGTTTTGAGATGAGAACAATCTAGTCAATTAAAAGGAGACCTGGAGAAGTTGCAATGCCCTGCTTTTGGTACTAAATTGATGTATAGAAAATTAATAGGGAGGCAATCTGCTAATTTAATTAGGTGAGACATTGAGAAGTTGTAAGAGGAAAATAAAACTTCCTAAGTGATGTCATGAAAAGATTGGCCTCAGTGAACATCAAAGAGACCTTTTGCTCAAATGAAATGCAGAAATATGCCATGGAGATACCAATTTTGATTCTGTTGCAGCTACACAAAGGTCGCCAATTACAAAGGAATGCCATTAGCTTTAGCCACATGAAAGACACAGATTATTGTCGACGAGAACCAATCTTACCAGCATAAATTTTCATGTTAAGAATTATATATAACAATTGGAAAACTGCCGATTGACTTAACATCAACTTGACATCACAGCCCTAAGGCCACAATGGATCATAAAAAATGGGGCAAAGACACACGATTGAGAACCAAATAGAAATAGCTAGAAGAAAGCCATACCAATGATGAAAGATTGAGCAGAAAAGTCGGCGAACGAACCGAACAAATCCCTCCCCGTAGCCAGCTCCGGCCGAAGATACTGTTCCCGATGCAGAGTAGGCAGCGGCAGTCACGGGCAATAACGGTTAGCAGCTGTGACTGACACGAAATAGGGGCCCTACCTTCTTCTAAAGAGGGTGACGAGAATCGAGAGTCGAGAGGCACCGAGACGCTGGGCGACTTGAGAAGGCGAGAACGGGAATGGTGATGAAACTTCTTCACTTTTTTGTGAAGCTCATACCGGTCGTCAATTTGATTTTTTAAATTTGATTTTTTAATTTTTTTTTTAAATTTTTCATGTGAGATTTTAAATTTTAAAACATAAAATAACTTTTAAAATAGTTTAATATATGAAGTATATTGATAAATGACATATATAACTAAATTAAAATAAATTAAATTTTAAATTAGTTTAATTTATTTTAATATAATCCCTTATATCATGTTTTGAAACCTTTTTTTTAAATTTTAAATTTTTTTCTATTTAAATAATTATAATATTTTTCATCAATTTTTATGTATTTCAACAAATTTTAATAGTGTAACATTTTTTTAAATAATAAAGATTAAATTAATAATATAAGTCAATTTAAAGAATTAAATTAATAAAATTTAAATTAAGAAACTAAATCGATGATAGAAATAAATTTAAGAGATTAAAATTACATTATTCTAATCTTATATTTATTATTCGATCAATTTTTTAAATTGTCTAGATAAAATTTTAATAGTTCAAATTTAGATAAATAAAATATTATAATTTTAAGTTGTTTAGATAAATTTTATTAATTCAAATATTAAATTAGAAGATAATGCCGCAGTTCTAGCTTATCTATGTCAGCATTGGTTTTTAAAATATTTAGTAAAAATAATAGGCATGATATTTCTAAAACTTTCAACATAACATCCTCCAATTCCTTATTGTTCTCTATCATTATCTTAACTTTTTTAATTTAAATTTTCCTCCCATAATCCCATATATTGTTATATTGATTTTTATTTTTTTTAAAATAATAAATATGATATTTCTAAAACTTTTAAGACAACTTCCTCTTATGTCTTTTTTTTTTAAATCTTATCATTTTAACTCTTTTTGTAAAATTTATTACTGAATTTTCTCTCACACGATCCCATTTATTATTATATTTATTTTTAAAATACTTTTTAAAAATAATAAATATGATATCTCTAAAACTATCAAAAGCAACTTTCTTTTATATCTTTTTTTATATTATTATCTTTTTTTTAAATTTATTCTTGAATTTTTTTCCATGTTGATCTACTATCGTATTGATTTTTAAATATTTTTTAAAAATAATAAGCATGATATCTCTAAAACATACTCCATACATTAAAAAATGTAAGGCATTTTTAATCAAATTTTACCTTTAATAAAATAGTTATTTACTTTTAAACTAACCATATCTTTTATATTTATCTCTATTAAACACCCTATAATAAATACAAAGTCATTATCAATAGGGGTACTTAAAAAAAAGGCAATAATTACACCTCAAGAGACTAAAAATACCTTACATTTTTGAACATCCAACTTCTTAAAAATGTCTTATATTTTTTTTGAATGGAGGGAGTATAAGATAACTTCATCTAATTTCTTATTTTCTCTCTCATTGTGTTAACTCTTTTTTGTCAATTTATTCCTGCATTTTCCCCCATAATCTCATCTATTATCATATATATCATAACTGCCCTCAACTTAAAAAAAAATTAATAAAATGGCTTCAATCCCTCAACTATCCCAATCTTTTCCAGAAAAATTCTCCACTAATTTAGGACTAATTATCTCTTTAGTTTAATTTTTTTTTCAAATTCTTACAATCATATAATTTAAATTTTATAAATAAATATTAACATTCAACACTTTCTTAAAATACATTTAACCTTTTATCTTAATCCTTGATCGATTTATAAATCATAAATTAATTTTTTATTCTCTCAACTTTCATCCAACCATAACTTCTCTCACAATCTAATAACGTCAAGGTGCTATCAAACACCATCAAAGTCAAGTTTTGAAGTCCATAAGCCACAAGCCATAAACAATGTCTCATCTTTTTTGGTGAGATTTTTCATTCATTTCACTGTCAATTCATCTCTCTTGAATTAATCTCTATTCTATTTTTAGCCTCATTCATCTCCCTCAAAATTAACCCAATTTTTGCCCTATTTTTCGTGAACATTATGTAATGTTTGAACTTTATTTGATTGTAATTGGTCTATAACAAAAAAAATTTTAACCTCCTTTGCCTTCCCTTGCTTGCAAACGACTGGAAAACTTGACCAAGGCCAGCAATGTAATGACCCTATATTTTAAATTTAAAAAAATAAAAATAATAAAAATAATAATTTTTTTATATAAATTAGTTTTATGAAAAATAGAGAGTGGTGATTCAGTAAAATTTAAAGTAATAGTTCACCTAAAAGTTTAGAGATTAAATTTTTTTAAGCAATAGGCTAATTTTATTTAGTTTAAAATTATGAAAAAAAAATTCCAAAAGTACCTATGTCTATTATGTTATTAAAGGAAAATAATGTGTCCTCTCTTGTAATTTTCACATTTTCCTTATGTTCAGACTTCTTATTCCTCTCTGTCAGTCAGACGCACCGCCTCAAATTTTTTCATCTCGTCCTTCGGCCTTTTTGAAAGTTCCAGAGCCAAAAGAGGTCGCTACCTCCCCCTTTATTATTCCGGTGTCATCCTCGTTGCCATCATTGGTGTGAGTGTGTGTTAGAACACCTTCCACCATTGTTAAAGGTCCAGCTCGCGAATTCTTCCTATCCCCTATTTCACACTGCCAATCACTCACTTTTCTGAGTGGCTGTTCAGCTCATCTGTCCATCGCCGGCTATTCTTCCTTGCTGTCGTGAAGGGCTTCTGAAAGTGGTGAAGACGCTAGTTTTTTTGTCATTGTTCTCCGCTCTTTCCAGACGCACAGATAAGGAAAAAAAATATGGAACCTTCGAATCAGTCTTCATTTTCATTGCTGTCTCCCTTTGTTTCTCTTTATGTTTTCCGACGATCTTTCGCTTCTGTGCCTTTGGTCATCATCTTTCTCTTCTCTCTTCTTTTCTATCTGATTGAATTTGGTGATTGAGAGAAGCTTTGAACTCAAGACCTTTGTTATTCTCCATCCTTTCGTTCTCCTTCCCTGTTGTTTTGTCCGTCAAAAATATCTAAGTTTGCCGGGGATTCACCGCTGACGAGGTTGGAGTCACGATCACTGTGCTTCTCTTTCTCCTCTGTTCATGTGCGCTGTGGGGTGCTGTCATTGAAGCCTCTCCTTCATCATCTTCCCCTGTTTCGGGGCTGTTCTGGTGACGGGGGCTTTGACTCCTCCTGATCGCTTCTCTTTTTTTCATTAGGAAATAAGGTTCAAACCATATCACAAAAGGAGTTAATTAGGAGTAAGTTATATGTTTGAAAATATCTCAGGTAAGTGGATAGCGTCGAACTAATTTTTTTTTCAATCAAAATTTTCTTTACTAAAATACTATATTTTTCTGGAAATCATTTTCATAGCATTAATGCGATTATTGGATATTTGTTGATTAACATTTCTTTATTTTGCAAAATTAGCTTTACTAAATTTGAAATGTTATTTGACCAATTAAGTCAAGTTTGAACTTTGATTATAATATTTTTATTTTATCAAATATTGGATTGATACAGAAAATGATTCATGCGAGTTCGACGTTGGAATTTTTTTCAATAAATACAAGCACGAGCATCGGATGTGAAATTTGATTCTGACAAGTTTTAATGCTTAAAAGTATTCATGCGAGTTTGATTTTGAGAATGAGAACTGTATCTTAAATGTGATGATTTTCTCGCATGTTTGAAAATGGTTTTAAAAGGGGGACTTTATATAGAACACTGGTTGCTAACGGCAGTTCCGTTAGCCCTTGGCGTGCCATGGTACACCTAGCTAGCAGAGTGTTTATAGGAGATGCTAGCCCTGTGCAATGGCCAACGCATGTGGAACAGAGGGATGGTTATTCGTGAGCATCGTACTCACGTTTGTTTCATGGCTTCGGCTGCGTTTGGTTACTTACCCTTGTGGACTATGTGTCCACGTTTGTTTTGTAGCTTCAGTTGCGTTTGGTTACTTACCCTCGTAGATTGTGTGTCCACGTTTATCTTCGTGGCAAGAGCCGCGTTTGGTTATCTGCCCTCGTGGATTTTGTGTCCATGTTTGTTAATTGTTCTGATAAATCCCTGTAATATGAATTTGATTAATTGATTATTTTACATTTCATTTGTTTTTAATTAGTGAATTATTTATAATTATTTATTTTATTTATTTACTTTCTTGTAATCAAGTGATAATAATATTTGGTATGATATTTTTGTAGTTTAAGATTTTATTTAAACTTTATGAAATTCTTTTATTTTTGAAGTTTATTAAATTTTTTATGAAAATCGTTGCCTCTTTGAATTGCATGATTGTTTCAAACTTTCCTTTTATTCATGATCAATTATTTATTGTTAGGACGTTATTCACTGAAAAAGATATTTTGGTCTTAGATGGTATAGTTGAACTCGTGACTCGAGAAATTAATTGAGGAGTTTTATTGCTGAATTGAAGCAGAAGAATTATTTTAGTCAACTTTTAATTTGATTAAAAATTTAAACTTTATACCTACGTTGGCGTCTGGCCTTAGGTGCTCCACGTAGACTACAGGTAGGATCCTCACATTTCTTTTAAAATTGAATATCTGATTTAATATTGTAACAATTTCTAATTACTCTATTAGTGTATTTAACGTATTAATTTCAAAATTTCTTCGATCATGGCTTAAGGGATATGAGTTTTGTGCCCATATCCCGTGCTGGTCACATTAAATTTTTGGGGGTGTGACAAGCAAGTTTGGGTAATATTGCATGTGAATCACCAAGTTAATTGATTCTTTTAACACCCGATTTCCTAAATCGCTCAACTCCTTCCCCTCATATTCGGGTTCATCAGCAGCAATCCAAGTTTATTAGCTGTGGAGGGAGCTGGCTGGTGCATAGGAGAGAGAGGAGGGAGGAGAAGATCTCTAGCATCCATCAAGCGTGGTTGGACAATGAGGGAGGATGGGGTAAAATATGAAAAAGGACATATGGAATTGCAAACTTGAAGTTTTAACCAATCCGTAAACAAGAAAAATTTTCAATTCTATTTCCATATTC